TTCACCGCCGAGAAGAATTAACCATCGACGAAATAAAACCGTACGTACGTGTAGATATAGTATAGCCCCGTGCTCCTTCCTCCTTTTCATCGTGGTCGAATTTTACTTATATCGATCCATGGAAAGGGAGGGCTACTACAGCCCGCTCGTTCGAGCGAACCTCTTTAGACATTATTCTCTAACGCGAGGAGAACCGAGGGGTCGCGCTACGAAACCGCGAAATATTTATAAACTCCTTCTTTCTTCCGAGCAGAAGTGAGGTCGACGAACAAACGGATGGGGCGAGCGTTGGCGGGTGCGGCACGCACGTACATCCCACGCGAATATGTTTACGCCGACATTAAAGTTGCCAAAAGTCCCTTTTGCCTGGGAGGAAAACAGCTGAGGGGAATCGCGCGTATCTTTGATATCTTCGTGCGTGCGTCAAGTGTTTGCACTTTGAGGACGATGGAATTTTCACGATCAATGTGTAGCGATAGGTTGCAACGAGAGAAAGATAGAGAGAGAGAGAGAGAGAGAAGAAAATGGACCGACAAGAGAAAATGGAGCAACGAGAGAATGAGAAAGAGAGAGAAAAACAGCGGACACGTAGGTGGGAGAAAAAGGATCGCGCGATATTCTTCGACGATGATGTTCGCGCGGTCGAGCATTTAGTTCAAAGGTACGGGAGAGCACGGTCGATAATTGCCTCGATCACGAATTCAAAAGGCCGCTTCGGACCGGATTGGTCGCGAATGCGCAATGAAATTTAATAGGGAGAGAATCGAACGTTCGGGCGGATGGTGGGAATCGCGGAATCGTCGGAACCGGAACGTTACGCGTTAAAAACAAGTAGGATCGTAAAAATAGGTAAAACGGCGCAAACAACCGTTTCGTCGTGTAATAAAAAGACATCCGGCAGACGGGACGAAGTCGTATCGCATTGCGCGTCGAACGTATTCCGTATTCGGTGCATCGGTTTATATTGCTTTGTTCGTCTTTGCTCGACAGAGAGAAGGAGGGGAGAGGACGAGAGAAGGAGGGGAGAGGACGAGAGACAGAGAGAGGAGAGAGAGGGACTCCCCCGAGGCGAGTCAATTTCAGAATGAGAGAACGAAAATATCTTGTTCTTCCGAACGGCAAGAAACTAGGCGGTAGATATCCTCTCGATATATAAATCAACCCGTTATATACTTCGCCGACAACACAAGGAGATCTGTTTGCGCTGTGGAAAGTTTCTCCAAGACCAGTCGATACCTCTCCTCTCCTCTCCTCTCTCTCTCTCTCGCCGCGAATCGCAAGAAAAAGAAGAGAAATGAAGGGACGGGGTCGAAGTGACAAACGAACAGTGGCCGTAGTTGATCAGATTTTCATCGATGCGAAACGACAATTGTTACGTCCGAGTAGCGCATTATCGTCCGGGTGGCAGTTTCAACGGTGGTTCGATCATATTCGAAATTACCAAATATTTGCAAATCACTTTGTTCGTTGTGCGACGTGTTAATTACGATCACGGTGCAACTGTCCCGATACGCGTTTAAATAGCCCTCGTTAATTTGCCGAAAAACAGGCCGTCGAGTGACTATACTCGTACTTTCCATCTACGCGTCGAGAGATGAATATTTGAAATGCCACGGACCATCTAGAGTATTGTCGAACGCGACACGGGTAGTTTACCCTATGCCCGTGATTTATACGCGGAATACGACGAAATTCATCCGATTGATCCGCCCAATACGAATACAATAAATGCCGCCGCGGCTCGCATTTTCAAAATGTTTACGTTTTAAAGTTACGCCCGATGCTCGATCGAATTTTTAACCAAGCTTCGCGCTCGCGTGTCTTCGCGTGTAATTTACCGATACCGAACCTCTTTTTAACTCGATCAAAATGGCCGACTCGCGTAAACAAAAAAAAGAAAAAAGAAAAAAAAATACAAGAATTTAAACACGTAATGCCTTTTTTTTCTTTTTGTTTCACACATCTTTCCTAAGCGTCGTCCTAATATCGATTTTGGATTGCACGTTTGCTTACATTTTTTTAACATTTTTGATACGTTATTTGCAGAGCACAAACGTCGAATAATCATCGAAATAATCTCGAAGCGAAGGAAAACGGACGAAATGATCGAGAAATTCAAATATCTCGATCTTGGGGAAATATCATCCGCGAGACGAAGCGGATAAAGACGTTTCGAGTGGTAATAGGCTCGTTTGAATCCGCAGACGGCACGCTACAAACAATTTGCCTGAAATTGGCGTACGTGCGCGATTCGTGAAGATAAGCACTCGAGAGAACGGAAACGGCCCTCTTGAGAACGCGAGCGAGCGTCATCTCAGTGGCTCGCTCGGGTCTTACAAAAATTTCTCTCCGCGTTACTTTGTACACTCGTAAACTCGTGCGCACCGAGAGGAACATCTTCAAATTCGCGGTCGGCTCCATTTACCCTCGAAATCGTCCAATTATCATTTCTCGCGGGAATATAAAGGGGACGGGGTGATGGTCCACTTCGATATTTCTTTTCCTTGCTTTTCGCGGTTTACTTTCGCTCCTGTTCGAGCCTCGCTTATCGAATCAAGAAAAAAAAAAAAAAAAATTACATCATCGAACAATTTTCAACAAGTACGTGACTTCGTCGGGCTCGCCTCTTTTTCGCTTCTCTTCAACTCTTCTTGTTCACGTTCACGTGCCCGTGAAGAGTTAACACACGGTGTTAAACGGCGGTGAAAAGATTAGTACCAGATTATATCCCGAGTTATATTAATAACCGATGACCGAAAGGGAAAAGTCAACGCGACCCATCGTCGTTTCGTGGCTCGAGGATCGAGGGGTTAGTAAGTAGTTTGGTAAACGTAAATTGAAAAAACGCGCACGCTCGCGAGAGAAGAACGGGGAGGAATATCGTAGTCGTCTCTTCCATTCTCTTCTTGCCGGGTCCCTCTTCGGCGATTAATCTTCTGGTCGGAGGGAGGAAAACGGCATAAATTTTGAAATAGTAGAAATTCATGGACGACCTTTTCATAAAAAAGTACCGGCGGTATTCGCTGTAACGCGGCTAAAAATTCCAGCTGCCTTTGAACCCGAGATAAACGCGTCTTTCTACAAAGAGAAATCCTAAAAGTTAGCAGCATCCCTATCTGCCCTGTAGTTCGGTTCGCTGCCGCTACCACCACCACCACCGGTGCTATACTACCACCTTCCACCGCTTCTATCTATCCATCGCATAGGTAGGCAAGTGGTGGATGGAGGAGGAGATGAGACAAGGGGATGGACGAAGAAGAGGAAAACAAACGAGAGAAAAAGAGAAGAACAGGGGGTGAAGAAATCGAAAGAAAATAAGGAAACAACGGGTAAAAAAGAAGAAAAGAGAAAAATATATCGGACGGAGAATGAACGACGAGACAAGGGAGGGAGGGAGGGAAAAGATGTAAAAGATACAGGAAAATAAGGAGGAAAACGAGAAAACGAAAAATTGAACGAAAAATTGATCGAAAAGAGAGAGAGGAAGGGAGAGGGGGAGGGAGAAACTCGAAACTCCTGCACGACGCATTTTACATACAGTCACGATAAATTTGATGAAGATTGTGTTCAGAATTCGATGGAACGAAATTAACTCGCAGAGATTTTCGAAACACTCGAAATCTCTACTATTTTTTTAATAATCCAAAAGGTATAATGGTAAGGCGGATCTCAACGCGGAGCGTTGAATACGAGTTTCTACCGAGGAATCTACATATTTCTCGCATATTTCTACATTTCTCGTGTATCAAAGATCTACAAATCTTTCAAAGTGCAGTAATGCTTTCAGAGTGCATTGCAGTTCTCAAACTTTGGCAGACGTGTATCAACGTGTATCTCGAACCGTATCTCGCGATACTTTCAAAGTCTCGGGACGCCTCGGATCTTCATATATCGTTAAGCAAATTGCTTAAAAATTCGCGACAGAGGGGATCGAATGGCCATCACTGGGGAGGAGGAGGAGGAGGAGGAGGAGGAGGAGGAATGTCAAGCAGTCGCGACTGAGAAGGTTAAGGAGGAGGGAGAGGAAGAAAGAGAAATCGAGAGAGAGAGGAGGGAGGGAGGGAGGAAGGAGGAGCGAGAGAGGAGGAGCGAGAGAAGGAGGGGGAGG